AATTCATGTGATGAACTTCAAATACAAACCATCAATTTTGGCGGGGATGGAACGCCATATGTATCTAGCTATTGTAACTCATCAAACGAGATCACTGCGTAACGTAGTCATAATGTCACGCAATCATTGCATGTATCTACAGTTTTCATATCACAAAGTTTTACATAACAGATCTAGTGAGTGGAATGTATCTAACTATTGTAACTCATCAAACGATATCACTGCGTAACGTAGTCATAATGTCACGCAATCATTGCATGTATCTACAGTTTTCATATCACAAAGTTTTACATAACAGATCTAGTGAGTGAATCCATGCTTTTTGTTCTTGATGTAGTCATTATGTCACTTGATCATTGTACCTACTTAACCATCATACAGCGTGATCGTTGTATTTACTATCATATTACGTGATCATCGTATGCATATCGCCATCGTATCGGCTACGCCCACATCTGCGCAAAGAAAAAACACAAATTTAAAACATTACTCGTAGTACAAGATATTGTTATAGTGCTGTAGGTCGAATTATAAAGTCGAGCAGTGAACTGACTTGCTTTTCTATCTTGCTTAATATTCTTATTATAGAGCCTTTGCACTATCACGTGATAGCAGCCATGACAGGACACAACAATAGAGTCTTTTTCTCCTAGAAAAATGAACTATTTTTCATGTAAATCAGATTCAATTGTTCCTGCCTCCTGTCATGGCTGCCATCACGTGATGGTGCAAAGCCTCTACTACCGAAAGCTAGCTAGTGTTTGTACCATACGTGAAGTATCATACGAATATGCCTTGCAACTGATCAAGCCTGAATTTTAAAATATCGAGGTAGCCTAATATTTTTATCTATTTTGTTTATCAGCTTCATCTTTTATATACCGCTCCGATTCTCTTCTGTGCTTCCAGGGTTTTTCTCCGAGGATTCTCCGGTTTTCCTCTCCCTGCAAATTGGGCTCCCTGTGGCAAAAATCAACTTCTAAATTCCAATTGGAATTTCAATAGATGAATAGCCACTCTGTTCAAATGCCACAAATCAATCGTTTTTATTTTATTCTATTTTATAATATCACGCAACGTACTAACCTCGCATGCAGACGTCCGCAGGGTTCGTCACGCAACGTGATAATTAACCTCGCATGCAGACGTCCGCAGGGTTCGTCACGCAACGTAATAACCTCGCATGCAGACGTCCGTAGGGTCTGTCACGCAACGTTTCCCTTCTTGTGGGAACGGAAAGGAAATGTTGCGTGACACACGGCCAATGCTGCACTAACCTGACTTAGAAAATATCACGCGTTGGCTTCCTGAAGGGTATAATATCGAAAACAGGGGCTGTTTGTTTTCGTAGGGACAAGGGCCAGGGATCAGCTCTATAAGACCCATCCAGCCCACATCATTACAATCATCGTATAAACTGTTAATGTAAAACGATCGCCTCACAACAACTCCTATTTCACCAGTTATGGAAAAGTGGTTGACAGGCTGGGAATGTATGTCTGTCCAAGGACTTGTTAGAAGACGATCACGAGAAAACCAGTTGGTCTTTGTAGATCCTTTGGCGTTGAATACCAAACGAACAACCTCTGTCTTGTTCTTGTACAACGACAATCGAACCTACAACAAATTAAATTCTCAGTAGCTAGGGACTATAAACAAACTTGCCAGCTCTTTGGCCACGTGAAGTCTTCCCCGCCCTTTTTCAACAGTTGCTAACGAACAGTATAAATACTACAGTACCTGTGTTGGATTGAATGCCTGCCAGTGTTCTACGATTCTGTTTTTGTAGTGCTGTCTGGACGAGCTGTTTATG